CTGAGTTCTTAATTGGTTTAGAAGTTGTACTCTACTTTATGTTATGTAAATCAGACTCCTTGAACATCTTAACTCCATTAGTTATGGACCCTATGAACTGAGTAACATGATAACGTTGTTGTGTAAAGTGAGATAGAAATATATGGGCACAAGGTGTCAGGTTGTGCTAAAAGTTTGGTAATTGAGATTATGATATGAGACATCGAGTTTGAAATGGCTGGAAATTGTGCATCGGAAACGATATGATTTATTGAGTTGACATCGCCTTCCTTGTTTGAGTACATTTTTACTTGTCTGTGTTCCAGCTATGTTGGTGTTAATTTATTTAGTTATCTTTCGTTTCCACCGTGTTTCTCTTTATTATTTCTACAGATTGTAGTTTGTTCTTTCCCTACTATTGATACTACTATGTCATTTCTAGGTTGATAGTTTATTATCAAATCCTGTTCAATTTGTTTGGCCAATAGGTGTCTGGACTGTTCCTCGTCACTACCCCACCGAGGTTAGTCTTGATACTTACTGGGCACCGCTGTGGTGTGCTCATACTACACTTCTGTACATTTTTGTGTATAAATCCAGGTATTTGATCGGTAGTAATTGTGCGGGTCGTTGCGGTGGAAACTCAAGATAAAGCTACTACAGCGTTCGCAGGCCTCGGAGTCACCTTCATTTGTACTTATTTCCATTTGTTCCCTTTGTTTCGGAGTAGTGATGTATTTATTTTGTATAATTACTCTTAGAAAGGCTTGTGACTTGTACCACCGATTTTGGGAATTGTAAATTGTTAAGAGTTATTTAAATTAAAGTTAGCAAATATAAATATTGTCTCAGTTAATGTTAGGCTTACCTAGTTTAGAGACTAGGTGCCATCACGACTCCTTTGGAGGGATTTTTGGGTCGTGACACTTTCGAACCGCTAAACTTTCAAAACCGTGGAATTTTGAACCCGTAAACTTTATAATTTCTAAACTCGTAAACTTCCAAATACAGAAACCTCCGAACTCATAATTTTGGAACTTATAAAATTTTAAGTCTTTAAGCCGATAACTAATAAAATTAAAATATATTTAAAAAATNCAAAAAAAATATATTAAGGTTAAAAAATAGGGTGGGTGGTAACGGAAAAACTGAAATTTAAAAGAAAAAAAAATCCTTTTTTTGGAGAGGGGGTGGGGTGGATTGGTGAGGGTGGGGAAAGTTGAGAAGGAGTTTTGGGAAATATTTTCCCTTCTCTTGATAAGGAAAATATTTTCCTCCAATTGGAGGAAAATGAGTTCATAAGGAAAATATTTTCCAAAACATTTAAGCCAACCAACCATGGGAAAATTGGAAAACATTTTCCGAAAAATATTTTCCTTCATACCAAACACACCCTTAATCTTAAATTTATGAGTTTTCTTCTTTCAAATCCGAAAAACTTGGGTCTTAATGGGAATCTTGGATTGGATTGAGATTGATTTTGTTTTCCATTTTTTTTAATTATATCATAAAAGTTGTGTTCTTATATGGTTCTTAAATATAATGTAAATCTCTTTACTAATAAATTATAATGAAAATTTCGTAAACATTGCTTAAAAATGTGAGATTTATGATTTTGATTTTTGGGAACTTATAGTTTATTTAATTTTATACTTATGGGGCATAATTTACCTATTGAAGATTTTTTTAAATTTCTTATTGTAGTCGATGTAATTCTCTTATTGAAGATGTTATCTTGCTTATGTAAATTAGTTTTTAGCATACATAAAAAGATGTAATTTCCTAGTGAAAATGTTGATTTTACTTGTGTTGTTATAATAAAAGTGTTATTCGGTGTTATTCGAATAACACCTTTATTATAACAACACAAGTAAAATTAACATTTTCACTAGGAAATTACATCTTTCCTTATTTAAAATACTAATTACATTTGGTTTTTTATATTTGAGATGTAATTTTGTATATTTGCAAATAAAAAATATTTATAGTTCACCCGAATAAACTACAAAAATACTGAATAAACGTTCTTCACAAATTCCGTATTAATCATTATAAGGTATACATTAAAGAAGTTATGGCACCGGTCACCTTCAAAATCCTATCTTTCTATAACATAAACGTGCAAACTAGGAGAGTTCAGCCATTGGAATTTGGAAGACCTAGAATGTATATAGTGTTATATAGATGAGTTTCAATAAGTACAAGAACCAATCATACTCAATAAGAATGAATATGTTGATGTTTTCCACATATATGAGGCATCAGCAGCTAACTAAAAGCTCAATGATATTAGCACAAATGTGTAGCTACAAAGAAAGGTCTTCATTTATTGCAATGTTGACATGCATGTTGCTGCAAAAATATAGGAGTAGTTCTTTAAGTTGTAAGTAACAATCAAGCAGAGGCGGACCTAGTGCATAGATTACGGGTTCCCGGGAATCCAATAACTCTTACGTAGACTATGTATGTATATTAAGAAATTCACTAAATATTGATAAATATTTGACTGTAAACCCAGTTATTATTGCATATTAATTTAAAATTACAATAGAAACCCATAAACCTCAAATCCTGAATCCGCCTCTGCAATCAAGCGCATACTTTTACAGACTCTCAAACTATAGTCATACTGAATTATCTCAATGTAATAAAAGGATAATTTTAGCAGTAATAAACCAAAGGGAAAAAGGAAGAAGCAGTGCAGAACTTTGTTCAGCTCCTCAAGATTTATTCTCCGAAAAAGGGTCAAATTTAACCTCATATTTTCGGATATTATCTATATCTAACCTCCATTATATTATCCTATCAAATTTACTCTTTCTCCATACTATCTGGTCAAAGTTACCCTTTTATAATTAATAGAGTTAGTATCAATAAATCTATTTTTCACACCTCAAAAAAGTCATTTTTTCTCTAAAAAAACATAATATTTCAAGTAGCGTTTGACTTGAGAAAGGATTATTCCCCTATGGACTTTTTCTCTTCCTATACAATATTTAAAACTTATTTACCAAAATTGTCCTAATTTTATATATTACTCATCCTAAATAAGGATTACGTACAAATTATATACAATCCATTATTAGTGCCGTAAATCAGGGGATTTTGTTACATTTTGTTCATATTTTCTTTCCACTCCTCTTTTAATAAGACTCCTTCCAAGTGTTTAGCATCCCTTCCCGGTGTTGCACATCGGTGCTCGCAGTGGGAAACCGTTTCGGCCTTTCTTTTAATTTTCTGATGAATCCCAATTTAATGAGAAAAGGGATTAAATGTTGGGTCAATTTTCTTTTAGTGATTTCTTAATGTTAATCTGAGTAATTAGAGTGCTTTTATACTCTATTAAATTTAAATTAGTAGGAGTGTAACTCAGTTTGGGAATAAGAAAAGGATCAGAAACTGATCACTTATATCTTGTAATATATCGCCTCCAAACTTAAGATTCAGTTTTGTATTAGTATTTCCAACAAGAATCTATGTTATCCAGTTAATTTCTCATACAAAATTCAAATTTCACATAAAACTCAGTTTCTCTTAAATGCGACGATGGCGCTTTTAATGTGACACTCAAAATTTCTCCACCAAATCATTCGGTTCCTATCAATATTCAAGTTTTTCAGTTCAAACAAATATGAAATAGTGCACATGAGTCTATTTGAAATTTATTCTCTACTTTTCTTTCCTTAATAAATCAATTTGAGAAAAGGACAATGTATGGTACATCAACATACAGATTAAAAACAAAATTCGTACAAATTTAATACAAATTTGAATTTATCAACAAAATGCATAGTAAAAATAAATTTCATACAATAAATTTGATAGTTTTCAACATATTTACAATTTATCTACAATTTTTATACATCATTTCTAACCAGTTAAATACAACTATAATATCATACAACTTACATATAATTTTTTATACAATATATCTTTTGTATGTATTTTGTATATGATTTGTATATATTTTTTAAGTGATGTGTTCTTCTTCTTCACTGAAATTCCAAGCAAAACTTCCTCTGTTAAAACAATTTTGATACATATCAATAACTTTACGTAAAAAGATAGTATTTATAGCTTAAATATAAATTTCATACAACGATTCATACCTTATATAACTATTTTTCAACTTTCATGAAATATTTAAATTTTAAAAAATTAATTACAACATATTACAACTTAAATACAATTTACATACAACTTAATACAATTTCGTAACTATATTGTATGTCATGTGTTCTTAATTCAGCCAAAATCAAATCTAATCTTCACCAGACACCCTAAAAATTGAGATATAGACTCTAAAGAATATTCTCAAACGTTTGCAACAATACCCAATCCAAACAAATAATAGTTTTTGAAAACCCAAATTCGAATTCAAAGCTTTGAAGTTTTTTTATGGCCGTCAATGGTAGAGAATCAAACACCTTCAAATTTATTGATTGACAATTTCAATTCGAACACCAATTGTGCAACATCAAAGGAAATTGATAAGTTAAAACTCTATATGAAAACAATTAAAATTCATAGATAAAAAATAGAGAAAAACGAAAGAAGAAAATTGAAGAACGAACAGAGAATGAGAGAAAGAGAGAGAGAGAGATGGAGAAAGAGGGGGGAGGGGGGAAATGGAAATAACTGATTCCCTATTCAATTCCTAATATAAAGGGATACTCATTAATATAAATTTGTATATAATTGATAAATTATATATACCTATATAATTAAGTTAAAACTTGATTAGGGAGGGTAAATAAGTTTGATATGTAGTATAGGAATGGAAAAATGATACTTTATAGCCGATGTAAAAATAATAGCAATATATTTATATTGTATGCTATATAAAAAAAATTATCTAATTTTTCGATTATGAGACGTAAATAATCTTTGACACGGACTAAAAGTGATAATACCCCATAGGAATGTAAAAATCCCTTCTATTATAGTAGTATAGTCCACAAGCAGCCCATTTTGTTATGGGCTTTTAGAAAAGGGCTCAAGTAAACGAGCAAGTCAGTCCCTTTTCCAGTTCTTGAACTAATAGTCCCACACCGACCACGAACTGAAGCTCTTCAGATTTTATACCCCGAAGCTCAACAGTGGAGTTTCTCTCTTCGGGGACATCGGATAAAACTGGAACGATACAGTGAAGATTAGCATGGCCTTTGCAAGGATGACACACGCAAATTGAAAAATTATCCAAATTTTGTTTTGCCCTCTCGCCGGCGGCGATTCTCCGGTTCAAATTCTTTTTTTGCCAGACGTTGCGCCGATACACTTTCTTAAGGTCCGTAAACTCTTCCTTTCCTCGTCCCTCTTTTATCTTCTGCCCAAATTTAGTTGACGGGGATAGGCATATTATGCCCTAGTGTAATTTCTAATTCTGATATTAATGTTTCTGTAAATTTCACTCATGAAACACCTGAAACATTTATGAATATGAGCACTTAAAGTATATCTTACGTGGTCTTTCTTTAGTTTTCATTTCAGCATAATAGTGCTCTGGTGCCTTTATTGCAACGGTTAAATTTTAAGGTCACCAAGAAATTTTCTACATTGAGACTTTAAATGTCTATCTATGTATTTGGCATTTAATAAATTGATTGAGAAGGGGAGAGTTAAGGATTATTTAGAAGAATTTGTAATAGTGAGAGCTCAAATGTTTAATTCCTTTAGAAATTCATTTACCATTTCGATATGATTTAAGCATGTTTAAATCGACAACAAGATTCCAAATATTACAAGTAGAGCATGCTTTTGGGTCCTAAATTATCCGGACTTATGCATAATAGTAGCTATACACGGACTCTCGTCACCTTTTGTGTACGTAGCCCCCACAAATAGGAGCACATATCCAATTAATTCACCTATGGGGACAATTCCCTCTTACAAGGTTAGAAAGGAGATCCACCTCGCTCTGAAGTTCCAAAACCGGCTTCCAATCCCTTCCGACGACTCAAATCGGTGCACAACGCTCCAAAACTAGCCAATAAATGAGAAAATCCATAAACATAGGCTCTAATACTCACAATAATTCAATTTAGATAAATTCTTAACTTCGTTCGAAAAGTTGACAAAATCGCCCTTGGGCCCATGTGCCCGGAATCCGAAAAAACTCACAAAATCCGACAACTCATTCCGATACGAGTTCAACCATACCAATTTTATCAAATTCCGATAACAACTTGACGTCCAAATCTTGAATCTAGGATCTTGAAAAGTTTTACAAAAATCTTGATTTCTTCCATTTAAATCCAAAATAAATGATGAATATAACCATAGAATCATGAAATATAATTACTTTCGGATATAGAACACTTACCCCAATCTATAGGGTGAAAATCGCCTCAAAAATCGCTTCAATCCAAGCTCCAAATATGATAAAAATGGCTGAAACCTCGAAATATAGCTTCTGCCAAGGTATTTACTCTTCGCGATCGCGGAAAATGCTTCGCAATCACGAAGCACAACATTTCTCAGCCCAAAATTTGCTTTTCGCGATCGCGAAGAACAAATGCCGAGCTTTTCCAGACAGTCTCTAGTATAATGGCCATAACTTTTTGTACAAAATTTTAAATTGCAAATGGTTTAACTTTTTGAAAACTAGACTCCAAGGACTACAACTTTCATGCTTTGCTCATCTACCAGTTCCTTATATATTACAAGATATAAGCTTCCAAAATCAGCCCTGTGCAACACAAATTTCTTCTTCGCGATTTCCAAACTCTTCCCGGATAGGCTGTAGTGTAACACTCATACCTTTTTGTACACAACTCCAAATACCAAATGGTTTGATTTTCTGAAAACTAGACATAAAGGGCTACAACTTTTGTTTTTGAATCATCTCCAAATTCCTTATAGATTGCGAGATACAAGCTTCCAAAGTAGGGTTAGTGCAGCAGAAACTTTCCTCTACGCAATCGCGAAAGACCTTCCGCGATCGCGAATCACTGGCCATTTTCTTCCATTTTACTCATCGCGATCGCGGCCAATTCCCCACGATCACGTAGCACACTGCTGTAGCCAAAAACCAGCAGCTTAAAATGGTATAGAAATGGTCCGAAACCACCCTGAAACTCACCCGAGCCCCTCGGGACCCGTCCGAATATACCAACAAGTCTCAAAACATATCACGGACTTAGTCGAGGCCTCAAATCACATCAAACAACGCTAAAACAATGAATCGCACTCCAATCCAAGCTTAATGAACTTTAGAATTTCAAACTTCTATATTCGATGCTTAAACCTATCAAATTACGTCCGATTGATCTCAAATTTTGCGCACAAGTCATATTCGACATTACGGACCTACTCCAACTTCCGGAATTGGAATCCGACCCCGATATCAAAAAGTCCACTTCCGGTCAAATTCCTCAAAAACCTTTAAATTTCTATCTTTAGCCAAATGACTTCAAAATGACCCACGGACCTCCGAATTCACTTCTGATCGCGCTCCCAATACCAGAATCACCATACGGAGCTACTCCCATACTCGGAATCCCAAACGCACACTGATAACACTGAAATGTACTTCAACCCAAACTTATGAAATTCTTTCAAAAATGTCAACTTCCACAATAGGTGACGAAACATTCCTGGGTCTTCCAAAACCCGATTCGGACGTACGCCCAAGTCCGAAATCATCATACGAACCTGTTGGAACCTTCGAATCCCGATTCCGAGGTCGTTTACTCAAAAATCCAATCTTAGTCCATTATTTTACCTTAAAGCTTCCAAATTGAGAATTTTCTTTCCAAATCAACTCCGAACTTCTCGAAATTCAATTCCGACCATGCGTACAAGTCATAATACCTGAAGTGAAGCTGCTCATGGCCTCAAACTGCGGAATGACGCGTTAGAGCTCAAAACGACCGGTCAGGTCGTTACAGCTATAGAACAAGCTAGGATTTACGAAAAGGCAATTGGGTGAATGATGTTGAAACTTGTAGGGTCTGCTTACAACAGTCGACTAAAATATGGTTCCTCGCAACCTACTTCCAATGTGATAGAAACATATTACTCAGCAAGAAGTAAAATATTATGTTTTAGAGGTATATAATACATATTGAACATTTTTTATCGGGAATTTTTTCACTTCTTTCAAGCTTGAACACCATGGAAAAAATTCATAGCTTCGCCGCTGTGTCCAGGTGAGGACTGCACGAACCCTCCGTGTCGCATGCAAAGTCGGGGAGGACTTAGAAGAACGATTATATGTATGGATTGCTTTGTGGAAGATAGAATTATAATTGTGCATGGGTTGGTAATTTTTAAGACTCATAACAGTATGAAAAGGTGAAGGAACTACTATATATACTTTATGGAGCAAACTCATTTAGAGCCTGTTTGAAATTGAATTTGGATGTAATTGAGTGTAATTACACAATTTGGCATGTTTGTCTGGTCAAGTAATTACTTGATCAACATGGAATTGAGTGTAATTGGAGAGGTGTAATTACACTCTCTAATTCTCAAGGGGAGGTGAGACTTGGTGGTAATATGTGTAATTACAAGGTTATTTTTTAATTTCCTTCCTTTTTGTTTTTATTTTAATTTATTTTCTTTATAACGTTTTATTTCCATTATTTTAATTTCTTTTCATTTTAACTTTTTATTTTATTTTAACTTTTAAATTTCTTTTTTAATTTTAAAATATTTTTTTGTACATTATTTATCTTTTATTTCTGTACCTTTACTTCTTGTGAATCCACGTAATTGATCGTATATTTTATATTCTATTTGTTTTATTTTCCTCATTTAGCGTAACTGCGTTACTGTTCTAGTTTTTGAAACTACACCTCCTAATATTAGAAATAACGAGTCATTAACAAATTTGGCATATAATGGGTGATGTCATTAAAGTAGAATTTCGTTGTTGAATGAGGCTATAACCTTATTATATTTCCTAATCTTAAGTTGTATTGGAACTTATAATTTTTATTATGTTTGAATTTGACATATGTTAAACTTTTTTTTTGGGATTTTGAAATAGTGTTATATTTATGGTTTCAATTTACTGTTTTAGTAGTATTTACTTATTATTTCACATTGCATATTGTTAATTTTTTTAGTTAGAATTGATAGATTAGTTTTGTCAAATATTTGAATAATGTTATGATATTATATTTATAAATATTAATTTATTTTATCAAACATGCATTCTATGGTGTTATTACAAAACGTATGCTTTAGTTTTAATAATTAATTAAACTAAATATTATTAATAACTAAATATATATCAATTATTTTTACAATATTAATTATAAATATATGATTACTAATTAATGTATATTCAAGAAAAAATATGCATCTTAAGTACCAAATCTTATATCATTTATCTTATAAAAATATTTATAGGCATATATTTATTATATTAACTTTTAAATTTTGATAGTTACTTCATTTATTAAAATTTAACCTAACTTTGTAATTACGGGTAACCAAACAGTATGTTTGTAATTACATTGTAATTATGTTATGACAAACAAACATGTCGTCGTAATTACTATATTGTATAATTACTAGGTTGTATATACTATCTTAGTAATTATACCAATTCCAATTACCTGGTGACTTTCCAATCATACTCTTAATGTTACTGTCTTAGTTTTTTTTTGAAATAAAACTTCTTATATGAACTTCAATTGAGTCAATGAACCCGTAGGTGATATTCGAATTATGGCAATTAGGTAGAATGATACTTAATAGTCTCTAAGATGTACAAACTAGTATTCATCATAATTGTTTAATACAAGCCACTGCTTTATCCACTGCAACATGTTGTAGGACCTCAGTATAATACGTTGCAGCATGTCAGCTCTTGGGGTTAGTTTCACGGGGCATTTACATGTTCTTCAAACATGTCTAAGAACTGTACAAAACATTTGTTTTCTGCTGAGAAAGTATACGATTGTGGATAGTTGTAGAAACAAGAGTCCTAGTTTATGGCTCTACTCTTCTGAATGTTTACAGCTCATTTATTGTCTTGCAGAGCGCACTTTGGAGATGTCAGTTCTTAACAAGTTTGGTTCAATAGGGTTTGGAATTGCTTACCCTTTACTCCTGAAATTATGTTCAAGAAAAGATTTGTTAATAATTTGTTTTTTACTTCAGAAAGATAACAATGGTATATTATTTTCTTCAACTTCTAGTCTATGTACTTTAGAGTTTAGAATATGTCATTTACGAAGACTTTCATAAACTATGTAGAGAAGTCAAAAGAGCAGTCAATTAGCTTTGCATAGAAGGAACACAAAAAAGAACTAAGTTGGTGTATTGATAATTTATGCATAACATTAATACATGAACTAAAGGAGAGCAGATCCTACTCGTTGTGTTTGTTAGAGCCCTCGACGTTGGTTGAAGGAATGATATGCAGTCTCTTTATGCGGTATAAGAGAATCCTCACTTCTTGAAGTAGCTTTTTGAGCCGAGTTCAGGCACATATTTATTTTCTTTGCATGTTATCAAGAATCAAATGTATACAATTATTTATTTATCCAATATTGGGTCTCATTTATGTTATTAAGCACCGTGCGGGTTGTTATAGAGTGTCCATATTTGTCTGATGAAACGTGTAATAGTATTTTGATAAATCCTAACTCATTAGCTAACTTTTGCTTGGAGGTATATGATCCAAATTTTCAAAATTACACCTAGCACCCCTCACTAACTTAAAGTCCATTGGAAATCCCATTTCTCCACCATTTTTGTAAATTTAGATTCTTGAAATTTAAAAAAACAAGAGTTCTCTCGTGATTTTATCTGAGTCTCAGTCAATCATCTCCTTAATTTGGTCAGTTGCTATTGAGTTTTATTTAATCATCTTTTTCTCTAATTAAGTGCTTATGTGTCCAAAACTATTTTTTGGGGTTGGATTGGGTTTCTTTTAGCTTGTGTGTGTGTGTGTGTGTTTTTTTTTTGGAAAAAGATGAACATGATATAACCCATGAGGGAATTTATATTGCAGCAGGCATATCACAGGATCACCAGCAACACGACATCCTCAACTGTCAGCAACGTCTCCGGAAATAGCCAATTCTTCCAAAAATTTTACATCTACTTTAATTCACAATAAAAATCTCAACTCTTGTGTTGTCTAAATAACATAATTTTGTGTTAAAGACTCACCTAGTTTTTTGGTGGGTAATTTGGAGAGAAAAATGAGGGTTTCAATGAGCTTTAATTTAGTGAAGGGTGTTATGTGTCATTTTTAAAATTTGGGTCATAGACCTCTATTAGAGTTGGAGCTAATTTTTAAAACTTTACCAATGTCAAGGACAATTTGATTGGATAGTATAATAGCCAGGGTAAATTTGCTACCGCCATAATAGGATTGAAGCCAAGGTCAATTTGGATATACACGTGAGATCAGGAGAAACTCTTTACACAGTAATGGGCGGGCTACGATTACCGATCCATTCATAATCTTTGGAAGATTTATACAACAAAAGGGGGTAAAGAGGGCAAAGACGGGCCAATGTTCAATTGCACCCAGCAATTTTAATACAAATAGTGGTCGGAGAAAGTGACTAGTCTTCATCTCCAAGGGTCCTTCAATTTTGGCTTTTTTTCTTTAGCAATGTGTTCTTTTCTTATTCGTCCTACTTGCCGCGTTGGCAGCAAGTGACATATACACACTTAGGTTTGCTTGGGGCTGCGAAATATGTATCTACTTGACACAATTTGTCTTCACTTAAAGTGCTCAATAGGTACTGCTCTTAATTTAGGTGTTCGGATGAAAAAAATGGTCAAGTTTAGGGGGCCATATATGGTATTCTGCATTAGATATATTTTAAAGATTACAAAATTTCAGTAAATACTATATTTTGAACTCATAATTATAAAAGTTGTAATGGATTCAGTGATAAAAAGATAAAGATTATATCCATCAACTTTACATCTTGAATCCGCCTCTCTATTTTACAACTCGGAAGCAACTAAAGTGCAACACTTCATGGAGAAGGGAAAAGTCAAGATTTGGATCTCCTTCGGTACTTCTCAATGCACCTTTTGGTTTAAGCCGCGTGTAGACTAAATTTCAAATTTTTATGTGGTTGTCGTTTAAGCATGATTGCGGAACTCATCAAGTTCATACAGCTCTATGACTCTACTCGTACTAGCGACCTCTATGTCAAGATTTAATTGCCTTAATACCCAAAATGTTGTATGCTCTAACTCCACCGATAAGTGACACGCCCTTCAAAAAACTAATTTGTATGTTGACATACCAATCGGACCTTTGAATGCAGTATGGTAAGCTCATAGTGCATCATCCAATTTTCTCGCACAATCCGTCCGAGTAGCATTCACAGTCTTGGTCAAAACACTCTTGATTTCTCTGTTTGACACCTCCACTTGTCCACTTGTTTGTGGGTGATACGGAGTGGGAACCTTATGGCGAACGCCATATTTCTCTAACAACTTTACAAAGGCTCGGTTGCAAAAGTGGATGCCTCTATCACTGATGATCACCTTTGGGGTGCCAAATCGGGTGAAGATACTTTTTCTTAGAAAATCAATGACTCCCTTTGCATCATTCATTGGGAGTGTCACGGCTTCTACCCATTTCGAGACAAAGTCCACAGATACCATTATGTTGTTGTTGCCATATGAGCTGACAAATAATCCCATAAAATCGACTCCCCACACATTGAATACTTCCATCTCTTGAATTGGGTTTATGGGCATCTCATGTCGAAGAAAAATATTCCTTATCCGTTGGCATTCATCACATACCTTCACCCAAAAATGTGCATCTTTAAACAACGTCAGCCAATAAAAGCCCGACTCCAACACTTTATCAGCTCTCCTTACTCCTCCAAAATGGCCTCCATAAGGCGAAACATGACATGCCTATAAAACAGAAACTTGGTCTATCTCAGGGATACATCTTCAAATTTTGTTATCAATACAAATCCTGAACAAATATGGTTCATCCTAGAAATACATGCGATAATCACGATAAAACGTTTTCTTCTACATAGAGGACAAGTCATAGGGAACAATATCGCTTGCCAGGTAGTTTGCAATATCTTCATATCATGGCGCTACCTCAAAGCTCGTGGCTAACAGTTGTTCATCAGGGAATGTCTCCACCATCTCTTCCACCTCAACCTTCTTTTCAGCTCCTTCAAGCCTGGACAAGTGATCAGCAACTTGGTTTCTTGTTCCCTTTCGGTCATAGATTTTCAAGTCAAATTCTTGCAGCAGTAGAACCCATCGAATCAAGCGCGGTTTTAACTCCTTCTTCTAAATTAGGTACCGGAGAGCAGTATGGTCAGCATAAATAATTACCTTCGAGCCTATCAGGTATGACCTGAATTTGTCAAATGTGAACACCACTTTCTCAATCACTAAGTAATTTAGTTGGGCACCAGTCAAGGTTCTACTTGCATAGTAGATTCGATGCATGACTTTATCTTTTTGTTGCCCAAGAACTACTCCTACAATATAGTCGCTTGCATCACACATCAACTCAAAAGGGTACTCCCAGTCAGGTGCCACTATGATTGGTGCACCAGCCTCTTCTTCAACTCCTCAAATGCTACCTTGATCATCAGAAAATACAAAGGGGTGATCTTTTTCAAGTAATTTACACAAAGGGTTAGCAATTTTGAAAAAAATCTTTTATAAACTGCCTATAGAAGCCGACGTGACCAAGGAAACTTCTTATGGCCTTGACAGAAGTGGGTGGAGGCAACTTCTCAATTACATCAACCTTAGCACGGTCCACCTCAATGCCCTTACTTGATACTAGGTGTCCCAAGACTATACTTTCTTGTATCATGAAATGCCATTTTTCTCAGTCCAGTGCCAGATTAGTCTCTATACACCTCTTCAATACTCTTTTCAAATTCATAAGGCAGTCATCAAATGAGTTCCCCACCACTGAGAAATCATCCATAAAAGCCTACATCATATCTTCTACCATATTTGTGAAGATGGCCATCATGCACCTTTGGAATGTGGCAGATGCATTGCATAGGCCAAACAGTATTTTCTGAAAGGCATAGATGCCATACAGACAGGTGAACGACATTTTCTCTCTATCCTCTGAAGCAATAGAGATATGATTATACCCCGAGTATCCATCCAGGAAGCAAAAGTGGGACCTCTCTTCCAATCTATCTAACATCTGATCAATGAATGGCAGCGAAAAATGGTCTTTTCGGGTGGCCTTGTTCAATCTTCATTACTCCATACAAATTTTTCATCCCGTGACTGTTCTTGTTGACATCAACTCGTTGTTCTTATTTTGAACTATAATGATTCCACGCTTCTTTGGCACACACCGAACTAGGCTAACCTAGTTGTTGTCAAAGATGGGAAAAATGATTCCTGCATCTAACCACTTGATCACTTCATTCTTCACCAGTTCTTTCATGTTGGGGTTCATTTTTCTTTGATGTTCTTTGGAAGGTTTCTGCCCATCTTTCAGCAGAATCTTATGCATATAAAAGGTTGGGTTGATACCCTTTATATCTGGAATGGTACAACCAACTTCAGTGTTGCACTCCTTCAAGACCTGCAAAAGTTGTTCTACCTCCACATCTAACAAATCAGATGAGATAATAACAGGTAAGGTCGAGTTAGGTCCCTAGAAAGCATACCTGAGGTGAGACGGTAACAGTTTTAGCTCCAACTGTGGTGGCTCTTCAATTGATGGCTTAGCTGGAGGGGTTTTTCTTTCTTCTAAGTGTAAAGTCTTGAATTCAAGCTCTCTTTTCCAGTACCCTTGGCCTTCAAGAGCCAAAACCCACTATGTCATGTCCTCACTATCTACCTCTTCTAAGTTTATGAGGCAGGCTGCTACAGGGTCTTTTGCATTCACTACCTCATCTTCCTCCTCCAAAATCACGTTCACTCCTTCAATCAGAGAGCAATTAGCAAACTCATTGGGTCGCCGCATGTACTTCTGCACATTGAATGTTATTTCTTCATCGTTTAGTCTCATCTTTAGCTTACCAATTTTACAATCAATCAAATCTTTCCATGTTGCCAAGAATGGACTTTCCAAAATTATGAGAATCTCTTCATCAACCTGGCAGTTCAGAATGATAAAATATGCCAGAAACACAAACTTTCCAACTTGCACAAGTACATCATCAAGTATACATAATGGCCTTTTTACCATTCGGTCGGCTAGCTGTAGTAACATGGATACGGGCCTTGCTCCTCCAATGCCTAACATTTTATAGATAGACAAAGGCGTAAAGTTTATCTCACCCCCAAATCACACAATACTTTAGCAAAAGCATAGCTGCCTATGGTGCATGGAATTGTGAAACTCTCTGGGTCAGATAACTTCTCAGCTATAGGTGTTGTCATGACACCACTACATGTCTGAATCAGTGTCACAATTTCCAAGTCTTGAAAGTAGAACTTACGAGACATCAAGTCCTTCATCATTTTTTCATAACCGAGCATCTCCCTCAAGGCATTAATCAGTGGGATGTTCGCCTAAATCTTCTTCAACATCTCCATGAATTTCTTATATTTCTCATCCTTCTGATATTTGGCCAACCTTTGGGGGAAGGGTGCTGG